CGGTGCCTCTGGACCCGGACACGGCAAATCCCTGGCTCGTCCTGTCTGCGGATCGGAGAAGTGTGAGATGTGCAGACACACGGCAGCCTGTGCCTGACAAGCCTGAGAGATTTGCTGCGAACCAGTGTGTGCTGGGCCGGGAGGGATTCACCTCTGGGAGACACTGCTGGGAGGTGGAGGTGAAGAAGGCGGGCTGGGCCGTGGGGGTCGCCAGCGAGTCTGTGAGGAGGGCGGGATGGGTCAGATTTAGCCCCGAGGAGGGGATCTGGGCAGTGCAGCGCTGGGGAGATCAGGTCCAGGCTCTCACGGCCCCTTCTCGCACCCGCCTGTCCCTGCGCCAGGCGCCCAGGAGGGTGCGGGTCTGTCTGGACTGTGCCGGGGGGCAGGTGTCGTTTCTTGATGCTGACACCAAGGCCCCGATCTTCACGTTCCTGCTGGCCTCCTTCCCTGGGGACAGAATCTGGCCCTGGTTCTCGCTCTGGCCTGGGTCCGAGCTGAGACTGTGCCTTTGAGTGATGGGGGAACAGCCGGGGAACGGACCCCCCACGCGGGGAAACGCTCCGCTCTGGCTTCCTACTCTCAATGACCCCAGAGGAGTCCCCTCTACCTGCCCCGTCCCCTCCTCTCTGCCCTGGGAGCTGCCCAAGTGAAAGATGCCGTCTGCGCTGACAAGCCCGTCCTGGCGAGGTCATGGCGAGGCCATCCGAGAAGGGATAATGAAGTATCTCCTCAGCTCATCTTGGTCTATTTAGGATGATTTCAGGCAGACTCCTAGCTGTCTGGCGTGTAACCATATGAGATGTCCATCCTTGATTAATTAGTATGGTGAATATTTCTTTTGCAATTAGCACAACTAAAAGAATGCTTTCAAGATGCTAAACTAAGAAAAAAGAGAAAAAGGCAGTAAAACAGCAAACAGCGCGCGCTTCAGGAGTGAGAAATCTCTCTGACACCAGTTGCTGATGCGCTCGACTTACTCGAGAAGTTGAAGAGAAACAGACCGCTGCTTCATCGCCTGTTGGGTGAGAAATCATCACTTTATAGCTAATTACTGGACTTTGCTTTGGCTTGGGCTCAGTTGACTTGATTTTAAAGACTTGTAGTAAATAAAGCCTTTCTGTCACTCATCGAATGAGGTGTCCTGTCAATCCCTGGGCTAGTCCACAATCCTAGGTTTTTATTTGCTTACACCAGTGCTGGGGCTCAGGGCCAAGTGCTGCTGGGGGCCCTTTGCCTCTAGGACCCCGGAGGAGTCCCCTCAACCCGCCCCAGTCCCCTCCTCTCTGCCCCGGGGAGCTGCCCAGTGCCCAGTCTGCACCGACAAGCCCGTCCCGTTGCAGCAGGCGGCACCAGGCCGGTCTGTCCCAGCACTCGGTGGCCCTGGAGGAGTCGAGCGCGGCCACCAGAACAGACCCTTGGGGACGCCGCTAGCTTTGTGGCCACCACCCCCTGCAGTGCCAGCAGCCCAGGGCTGGGGCTCAGGGCCAAGTGCCTCTGGGTGCCCTTTGCCCAGAGTCCTGCTGGG